TTGATATATTGTCCATCATTGCGAGGAGACTCAAGATCTTCGGGCACGATCTACACCCCAAGAAGACCAAAGCCCTACTGCATATCGACGGACGCGCCAAACAGCATATCAAGGCGAAGATCTTCCAGACCAGCCCCGTCACACTGCACCGCGAGGACTGCCAACTGCTGACCAGCATTGATACCACCACAGCTGAAGTCACGACTCAGGGACTCACATTGGGCAATATTGTGGCAAGCGACGGCAGCGAAGGGCCAAACCTTTTGAGACGCATCATCGATCACAGATCTGCAGAGGGCCCCTTGAAGAAGTCCATCTTCCGACTGCCGCACATCGACCTCGAAGCCAAGATGCAGTACCTCACGGCCCTGGCGCAGAGCAAGCTGACCTACGACTGCGAAGTATGGGGGCCGCTGACAGTACAACAGAAGCAGATGCTGCAGAGCAGACACATGGCGAGTCTTCGAGCGGCCGCACGACAACGGCGGCACGGTGCGGGACACGTACACACTTTGGACGACGAAATCTACTTGCTATGCGATGAAGTCCCGATCCACATGTCTCTGCGTCGACGACGCCTGATGTACTTCGTCAGAATGTTGCATGCGGACACGCCATTTCTTCACCGTCTCATGGACGAGCTCTGGGAGGACAGTAAGGCCTGGAATGTACTTATCGTCGAGGACCTGGATTGGATAAAACGATTCCTACTAGATGACGAGGACATGGGCAGTGACATCAGGGGCCTTGTACGATGGGTACGAACACAGCAAGAGCACGCCGCACAAGCCATGATCACGCGTGCCTGGCTTAGGTACAAGGCCTGGCAGCACGACGTATATCGACATCGGATCTGGCAAAGGCAGCTGCATCGGCTCGCGCAAGACTTTGGACTGATCACGCCCAACTTCGATGGACGGCCACCTGCGCAACACAGTGGTTACATATGCTACGAGTGCGACAAGGTCCTGAAAACGCGTGGAGCTTGGAAGCGCCACCGCACCATGGAGCACATCGGCTACGACCTCCCTGAACTACTCGCCCGCTCGACAACGTGCCCTGGGTGCGGGAAGGACTTCATCGCGCGATCGCGCATACTCAAGCACTTGAGAAGGTGCCCCAGGTGCCTGGCTGTACTCCAAGCATTTGAAATTCCAATGGATTTGCAGGAGGCAGCCGAACGTCGAGATGAAGAACGAGAGGCGGTGGCGGCGAGGAAGGCGGTGGGTCATGGAGCTACTAAGGCGCTGGTGCCTGTGCAGCAGATCATACACATCAAGCTCGCCGACCACATCGAACAACACCAGCTCCAGCTCTCGCCGGCGCCGCCCGCAGCAGCGGCCCCTCAAGCGGAGACGCCATCAGCAAGGACATTTGCACCGTGCAGGCCCATGGTTACTACTACCATGTTCTTGCTACACCTATTTTCAGGAAGACGCCGAGTGGAGGATTTCCAGCACCACTTCGAGATGAACATTCGGGAGTGTAATTTGATAGTATTATCAGTCGACGTGCAGATTGACCCCGACAAAGGCGACCTGACGAAGCCAGACGTCGTTGAGTTTTGGTGCGCGGCGATACGTCAGGGCAAAATCTTCGGCATCATAGCGGCCCCCCCTTGCGAGACGTGGTGCTCATCGCGTTGGCGCGCCGCCGAGGGAAAAGCCCCACGCCCACTACGCACGCGCGATTTCCCCTGGGGCATACAAGCAGCCAACCAAACGGAACTTCAGCAGCTAGCACTGGCCAACGAGCTGTACAGGACAGCCTTACTACTCATCACCACTGGCTTGCAGTACAACGTATCCGCTATACTCGAGCATCCTGCTCCAGCTACCTGGTGTCCTCAAGCGCCGAGCAGCTGGCAGCGAGCGGAGACGGTGTGGCTGTTGGAGCAGACGAACGTCGAGCTACACTACATCGACCAGTGCCAGTTTGGGCAGGCCGCGCGAAAGCCAACGTGTCTGATGGCGGTACACCTCAGCGAACTCACACAAGAGCTTGGGGCAGTACCTGGGGGTCAGCTGTGCCGACATAACGGACGCGACAGAGCTTGCGGACGAGACGGCCAGGGCGGCTGGAGGACCGCCCCTCTCAAATAATATTCTTCAAAGTTGTGCAAGGCAATGGCAACGGCCTTCGCAGCCCACTGGGGGCAGCTCGCTGACGAAGAGGCACTGTGGGCCGAGACAGATGAATGCTACCACAGCTTTTATGCGCCCCTGGACCATTACATTGAGCCAGAACAGCTGGGCCACGACTGTCACAGGGCATGGGGTAATCACCGGCGCTAACAGCTCACACAGCAGCGCGCGGTACTACGACGGCCTGCACAAATATTTCGGGATAAATCGTTGTTTGCAGTATTACAGATTTGCAGCACGCCCATTGGACTGATTACCAGATTACAGATTGGATTACATATTGGCTGTATTACAGATTGGATTACAGATTGCATTACATATTGGATTACAGATTGGCAATATTACAGATTTGCAGCAGGCGATCGAGGGTCTGCGTGCCTACCTATGGACTCAATACTTGGAGTGACCTGCGCGAATGTATGATTATGCACGCATGGCTTTGTCATGGACTGCGATGGCGTGCCATTCTCGAAGGGGGGGGCCCGTGGCGCCCATGCGGGTGGGCACGATCCCTCAAAGGCGACGGAGCGTGCCCCCCCTCGAGTATGCTTATTGGGATTCTTATTGGGATTATTTTTCAACTCTGGCATTTGTTTTCTATGCGTATCTATCTCCCTGGGTAAAGGCAGCAAAGCGCCCAGGCACCACTGTAAGTGTTTTGTTATCTCTGGGTATCTCTTGGCAGTTGGGCAGCAAGACTGACTAGAGTACCGCGGGCTCGCGCACCACCAATGCAAGCAGGTCAAGCAGTATCACAGCGATCAGCATGTGGGAGCCGAGTGCCGCAGGCCAGCGCAGCGTTGAGACAAGCACCACCATGGCGACCAGCACGACTGTGCCGAGCACCTCAGGTGGGGGTGCTACCGAGTCAAATACGGCCACCTGTTTCCTGCTACACTATATCGAACACCACAGGCATGGGCACGGTCACGGTGGATACTACAGTGCACTGCGCGGCGAAGAGCGGCCTCGGCGACAAGCGCTACGGCGTCAGGACTCAAGTCCTGAGGAAGCCCCGAATGCGTGGGAAGACCTCAGGCAGCGTCGCCAAGTTTTGCTTGGGTTAGGACGCAAGTCCTGGGGAAGCCCCGAATGCGAGGGAACACCCCAGGCACAGTCGCTACGTTTTGCTGTAGGTATCCTGGCGGTGACTGGTCTATACAACTCGGAGGTCGCCAGCTGGCTGGAAGCGGGCGATCGCACGACGCCGCCGCACTACTGAATCCGACACGACATCATACCCAGCACGGCCCTGCACACCTTTTGTCAAGTCAACGCTGCCCTGGTGAGGCATGGATCAAACTTCGAGACGGGCTCGAAGGGCGGGGGGGAAGGACGAGTACTTCCCGCGCCCACCAGGGGGGATGGTGAGGGGCAGGGGGGGGGGGTAGGACGGCCACTACCTGCGCCCCCGCGGTCCGCCCTAGCTCGCCACCCCCACCATTCCCATGGAGAAGGAGGAGCTACCCGAGCGCCCGAGGGCGAAGCTGGACAGCCGAGACATCCCACTCCGACGACAAATACCAGGCCTGGGGTTCGCCCCCACCGAGGGCACCGTGACCCCTAGCCATAGCGGGACGAGGTGGGACAGCCACGACCCCCACTTGAAGTCGGTGCATGGAGGCCATGGGCGCCCACGACCATCAACGCAACACCAGCAACAAGCCGACCTCCCAAAGACCCTAACCAGCACGCTCGACAAGCTACACTCAGCCAACAAACAAACGACCTTCACGCCACAACCATCCCCCGACATCAGCGCCTACTTGTACGCCAGCGTCGGGTGCTACATGATTGAGGACAACTGATATACTACGTTAGGTCGAGTACCACAGACTTGACATCGCAGTGTCATGCTGTGCTACGTCGACCAGCATGATTGGGCACCGCAGAGGCAAGAAGTATCACCTCGACCAGCGCGACTGGGACGGGTGCCGCACGTTCGCGCACTACAGAGTCAAGCAGTACCACAGGTTCGAGAACATTAGAGTCTACCAGAACGGAAGGGGCAGCCTGCCCCTCGGCGTGGGATACACAGCGCAGGGCGCCGAAGGGTGTATCCCCGTCGCCCTCGCGTGGCATGCGAGGGGCCGAGGCCAGCCGGCCATAGTCGGCATGAGGAGGAAAGAGCAGCCGCCAGTGCTGGCCTGCTGGAGCCCACGAGCGGCTCGGCGAGCCTCCACAGCGCGCGGCGCCGAAGGGTGGAGGTCGCCAAGGCGGGGGGCAGCCAGCCCCTCGAAGCCGCCCCCACGGCGGCTGGGCTCAGCGCTCCGCGCCGAACGGAGCCCAGCCGCCGCCGTGCGGCCGCCGGCCTGGCCGAGCGCCGTGCCGCGCTGCCTGACGCCCGCGGGCGTGGGCGAGCGCGGCGCCCGCCCATGGGCCCTGTTGGGCCCCCTTTTTTGGAAACCCGGCCCCCTCTTCCCTCCTCTGAGGTTTTAACTGGTCCCTGGTCCTCTCTGCTCTCCTCGGGGTCGGGTTCCCGGGGCCGCTGTTCGAGTGCCCGCGCGGCCCTTGTGGGCCGCTGCGGCGCGCTCCGCGCCCGCGGGGCGCGCGACAAGACGCTGTGTAGCGAGAAACGTCAGAAACGTCAGGAGGAGGAGGAGGAGGAGCAGGAGGAGGAGGCGGAAGAGGCGGAGGAGGAGGAGGAGGAGGAGGAGGAGGAGGAGGAGGAGGAGGCGTGGCTCCTCCGTCGACGGCGGCGCTCCTGGCCTCGGGGCCCCCTCCCCGGGAGCCCCTCCGCGGCGCGCCCCCGGGGGCCCGGGCGGGGCCGCGGGCGCCGATCCCAGGCCCCCCCCCGCGGGGGCCCCGGGCCGGGGCAACGGCGCGGGTGCGCGGCCGGGCGTCCCCTTCGCGAAGGGCGAGTGCGCCCCGGGCCTGCTGTGCATGCAGGCGGCGGCTCCAGAGAGTCGGGGGCGGGAAGGGAAGGGGGGGGTGGCTGGGGGGGGGTGGATCTCCTGGCGGGGGCCATGATTTTTCCCCAGATTTCGTGGCGCCTCTTCTCATTTCATGACGTCCCTGGCCCCCCGCTGGGCCGCGCGCATGCCGCCGGTCATGATTTGCACCCCCCCCCTTGGACACCCCCCTCTTGGCCGCTCCCTAGAGATCGGCGGCGGAATACTCGAGCCCCACTGGACGAGCGCGTTCCACGACTCGCAGAGTTTCTGCTCGCAGGTGGCCCGGATGCGGTGCGGGGGATCTACGGTTTTTTGCATCGAGGCAGACACATGCTCTTCGGACGTTTGCGAGTAGGCACTTTGCGAGTAGTGGAACGCGCTCGGTGACCCACCCTGAAGTCGGGCGTGTCCCTCAGGAGGAAGATATGCAAAGATAATCAAATAATTAGGCAGGGGATTTTTGAGCATCTTTAGACGAATTTTGCGTATTTTTGGGCATTTGTTTAGTTTTCGACTACTCTCCGCCTGTGGGAGGGCATGCCCGACCTAATGCGAGCCCTACCCTCACCGATCAACGGTTCAACTCGACGAGTGGCGGGGGTAGGGTTCGGGATTCGGAGAACATGTGGCGAGGTCCGAACCCTACCAGGCCCTACCCCTGCCTCCCATCGGTTCAGGCGAGTTAGTGCAGCGCCAGTCCAGCACCCCAGATTCCCGACGATATGCTTAAGTCGGGCGTGTCCCTCTACAGGAGGAGCATTAAAAAAACACTCAAAAAATGGATGCTTTTGGGACTATTTTTTGATTATTTGATGGCCAATTCGGGGGCATTTTTGAATATTCTCAATTCTCCGGCCAAACTCCGCCTGTAGGGGGACGCCCGACCTCACGATATGCGTTTCTCAGCGCAGGCGTTTTTTCGCTTTACTGCGGCCTCCAGGCCAGCTTGTCGGGCCCCGAGGACCGTCAAAAGCGGAGCGGGGACGAGGAATATAGACCCCGGGGGAAGCGGTCGGGACCCTTCGGGCCGCGCGTTGCACAGATTGTATCGCCAGATGTGCTGGACCTCCGTGCTCGGCACCCCTCTCCTGCCCCGCCCCTCCACGGGAGGGTCGGGAGGGGGAGGGGGACGAGAGGGAGATTGGAGGTCAACGAGGCTCTGGGGGAATGGATGGATGGATGGATGGATGTGGATCATGACGATGACGATGACGATGATGGTAACGATGACGATGACGATGATGATTATGATTATGATGATGATGATGATGATGATGATGATGATGCTGATGATGGTGATGATGACGATGATGATGATGATGATGAATGATGATGATGGTGATGATGATGATGATGGTGGTGATGCTTATGATGATGCTGATGATGATGACGAGGATGAGGATGGGGATGAGGATGATGAGGATGAGGATGATGAGGAGGATGATGAGGATGATGATCATGATGATTATGATTTGGATGATGAGGATGATGAGGATGATGAGGACAATGATGATTATGAGGATGATGAGGATGATGAGGGTGTGGATGTGGATGCGGATGAGGATGATGATGATGCTGCTCATGATGATGATGATGATGATGATGATGATGATGATGATGATGATGATGATGATGATGATGATGATGATGATGATTGGGATGATGAGGATATGATAATTAGTCAATGGTGATGATGATTCTGATGATGAGTATGATGATCATGATGACGATGATGAGCATAATGGTGAGCATGATGATGATGATGATGATGATGATGATGATGATGATGATGCTGATGATGATGATGATGATGATGATAGGGATGATAACGATGATGAAGATGAACATGAATATGAATATGATGACGATGGTGATGATGCCAATGATGATGAGGAGGAGGAGGCGGAGGAGGAGGAGAAGGAGGAGCAGGAGGCTGGTGATGAGGACGAGGATGAGGAGGACGATGAGGATGAGGATGCCGATGCTGATGCTGATGACAATGATGATTCTTATTAAGATAATGATGACGATGATGATGATGCTAATGTGTATGACCATGATGATGCTGATGATGATGATGCGGATGATGATGATGATGATGATGATGATGATGATGATGATGATGATGATGATGATGATGATGATAATGATAATGGCAATATTTATCACGATCATGACGATTGTGGTGGTGATGATGAACGTGATGACGAAGGTGACCACGGCGACGATGCCGATGCTGTTGGTGATGATGGCGGTGGTGGTGGTGGTGACGACGAATATGATGACGACGATGCTGATGATGATGCTGATGATGACGACGATGACGATGTTGTGCATGATGAGGAGTATGATGATGACGAGGTACATGTTGATCACGACGGTCGTGGCGGTGATACTCAATGTGACGATGATGCCGACGATGCTGATGATGATGACGATGATGATACGGATGATGATGATGATGATGATGATGATGATGATGATGATGACGACGATGCCGATGACGATGATGATGATGGCGATCGTACTGGTGATGGTGCTGAGGATACTGTTGATGCTGCTGCTGATGATGATGAGTTTGATGATGTTGATGATGATTCTGAGGATGGTGGGGATCGTGTTGGTGGTTGTGATGATGATGATGACGATTATGATTGTACTGATGTGGACGATGATCTGGATACTGTTGATTTTGATGATGATCATGACGATGGCGATGTTAATCTCGAGGATGATGACTATGATGATGCTGATGATGGTGAGGACGATGAGGACGATGGTGATGCTGATGATGATGATCATGCTGACGATGATGAGGATGATGAGGATGATGATGACGAGGAAGCGGCGGACGATGCTGATGATGATTGATGATGGTGATGGTGGTGGTGATGATGATACTGATGAGGAAGAGCATGACGATGACGATGACGAGGACGACGATGACGATGATGGTGATGATGATCATGAGAATGATAATGATCATGATGACGATGATGATGATGCTGATGATGATGATGATGATGATGATGATGATAATGTGATGCTATGTTGATGATGACAATGATGACGATTATGGTGGTGATGCTTATGAGGATGACGGTGATGATGATGACGATGCTGATGCTGATTATGATACTGATGGCGACAGTGATGGTGCTTGTTTTCAAGATCATCATGTTGATGATGCTGCTGCTGATGCTGATGCTGATGCCGATGCTGATGCTGATTCTGCTGCTGCTGATGATGATGATGATGATGCTGCTCAGGATACCGACTCTAATGATGATTTATGATGCTTCATTGGCTGACGCCGCACCGCCGACCCCTTGGGGTGGCAGTAAGAGTGAAGCACGGAGTTTGCGGAACGATTTCTCGAGAATCTGGGGGTTTCAGCTTCTTGGGATTTCGTCGGGGGCGGTTGGCGGATCGCCGCTCTGCTCTTGGGCTTCTTTGGGCTCTCCTGGCAGCACTTTTGAGGCCTATTGGGAGCCGTTCTGAGGCTTCTAGGAGCCTCTTTTGGGCCTCTCGGGGGCCTCGTGGGAGCCTCTTGGGGGCCGATTGGCGCCTCCTCAGGTTTTTTCGGGGCCGAGTGCTCGAGATGTTCATTCGGGTTCCCCTTCTGGGCCTCCTCTTGGGGCTGTCCTGGGGCCCTCCTGGGTCGTCTTGGAAGATTCTGGGGCCGTCTTGGGGCCCTCTTGGGCCGTCTTGGAGCCCTCTTGGGGGCTTCTTGGGCTATCTTGGGTCGACCTTAAAAAGGCTTCTTGGGTCGCTGTGGGCCTCGTGAAAGCCCAAGAGGCGAATGTGCTAAGAATCTACGTTTTCCCTTCGGGAATGCGACGAGTTTTGCTTCTGGAGGGCCTCTGGGGACGCCTCTTGGTGGCTTCTTGGGGCGTCTTGGAGCTTTCGGCGACTCGTAGCCATCTTGGACTGTCTGGGAGGCCTTTTGGGGCCGTCTTGGGCCCGTTTTGGGGCCCCCTGAGGCTCCAAGGGTGCGGCTGGCACCTTCTGCCCCTCCCCCCCCCCTCCAAACTGGCGGGACCGGGCTCCCGGGGGAGGGGTTTCGGGAGGGGGAAGCATCTCGCACGCCGTGACCCCAGGGTGTCGGCGCATTTGTGATGCTGGTGATGCTGATGATGCTGATGATGATGACGATTCTGGTGATGATGATGCTGATGATGGTGATACTGATGATGATGATGATGATGATGATGATGATGATGATGATGATGATGATGATGATGATGATGATGATGATGATGACGACGACGACGACGACGACGACGAGGATGAGGAGAAGGATGAGGAGGAGGAGGAGGAGGAGGGGGTGATGATGATGATGATGATGCTGATGCTGATGCTGATGAAGATGATGCCGAAAATGATGATGGTGGTGGCGATGATGATGATGTTGATGATGAGGATGATGATGACGATGATGACGATGATGACGATGATGATGACGATGCTGATGATGATGCTGATGATGATGCTGATGCTGATGACGATGACGATGACAAGAATGATGATGAGGATGATGATCATGACGACGATGATGATGATGATGAAATTAGTAATGCTGGTGATTGTGATCATGATCATGATCATGATCATGGTGATGACGATGTCGACGACGATTGTGATGATGATGATGATGATGATGATGATGATGATGGGTGGTGGTGGTGGTGATGATGATGCTGATGCTGATGATGATGGTGATTTTGAAGCTGATTATGATGCTGCTGATGATGCTGATGTTGATGAGGATGATGATTCTGATTACGATGCTGACGATGATGATGATTATGATGCTGATGATGATGATGATGCTGATGATGACGACGATGCTGGTGACGATGTTGATGATGATGAGGAGGATGATGATGATGACGATGATGCTGATGACGACGATGATGATGATGATGATGATGATGATGATGATGATGATGATGATGATGATGATGATGACGACGATGATGGTGGTGGTCGTGA